CAAGATGGTGCCCGTGCCTGTGCCCAGGGCAGTCCTCTGAAGGTGGCAGGTGTCAGCTCTCAGCAGTAAAGTGCACCTGTGGAAGCTGAGCTGGTAAAAGGGGATGAGGGGACCTGGGTGGGGCACTGATAGACTTCATTACAAGAGCCATCTCAAAACCATCATGTGTCCTTCATAAAGTGGCATCACAGCGAACCACCTTGTACTGTTGCGCTGAGAAAACAAGAAAACAAGGTTAGAGAGTCTTTCTTTAAATGTTTGTCTGAAACAGCAATGCACCTCGAGGTACTGTTTTTTGTTCATGAAATGGCAGGTAAGGCCATGCTAAACTTAACGTGTTTAGCATCCCCAGACTGAGTCCCAAAAGTAACAGGGAGATGTGCTATTTATTATTAATCGTGGAGTATATTACTTAGCAAAGCAGAAGCTTGGTGCTTCTTCAGGCCAGGGATTCAGATGTTTTACATTCTCATTTGGCTTTGTGGGGAAACATCCATCCCACTGAGGAGAAAGGAAGCACAAAGCCCTTGAAAAATCAAATAGAAAAGAATCATGGATCTGTTCAACGGGGAGATACAAAGGATTCTAAAAAGAGAACCCACAGGTGAAGTGAAGAGATAGTTTTTGAAATGTAACCCTGGGGAGGTGCTCTAATGAGATGCAGATGGTCTATAGACCCAACACGTAGATGTCTAAACTGGGAGAGAAAAGGATGGGTGGAGGAAGTCCTAGAATTCTCTTCAAAAGCATCCTAGGAGAGTGTACAGCTTTGGATAGTATAGGAAATAAATGAGAGGGAAAAGGAAATGATGCCCACTGGATGTTTGAGACAAGAATACAATTCTGAGGCTTCATGTTGCTTGATTAAAAGAGATGAGACAGAGACCATGGCTGATACCCAGAAGTCTGAGTCAACATCCTGGACCCAGGTCTCCAGCGCATCATGCATAGACATTACCAAGAAGCTAGACAATAGAGTGGCATATTGTTTTATATTCAAATAGACCCAATAATAGGTCTTTAGATTTCCTCGTGGGTTTTCTTTAAAGTGTCTGAATTTGGGGAATTGAGTCTTAGAAGTTGCGTACTTTGTAAATAAAGGCAAACAGGAGAAAAGGAAAGTACGTGTTATAGAAATTATTCCTCAAAACAAGCCCAGCCAGATAAGTGCTATTATCCCATTTTTCAGGCCAAAAAAAGCAAGGTTTGGAAAATTATGTCATTTTCCCACACCCTAGTTCATTAAATGGAAGAATGAATAAATTTTACCCTTTATCCCCTCCACCTACTAACAAATATTAATTGAGGACCTCTGGTGTACTTATTCTGGACACTGGGGACCCAAATAATTATTTCAACCTATATCTGTCTGATTCTGGAGGCCCTTCTTTTCCCCCCAGATTCTAGTGACAAAGCTCATTTAAATCTGAGCCCACAGTAGGTTGGATTATTCTGTGATTATGCAAGATGGTAATGAGATTTACAGGGAGGGGAGAGAGTATGGGAACATAAAACAATGCATGGCCCAGTTCATGCTAGGTTTATAGGCTGAGCAGGGAGGACCCAAACCATTTTGCCTGCTATTTTAAAAAATAAAAATAACGAATGACCACAAAAATAATAAACACCAAACTTTTATGGCTACAGTTTCTGATTGTCAAACATGGGGAAAAAAATGATAAAGAGGCAAAAATCCTTTTTGATGTTACAAGCCAGAGAATGACTATAATTATTTTAAAGTATGTTTTTCCCATCCGTTTTTGTTTTTTTTTTTTTTTACCCCTTTGGCTGCTTAAAATTTTTTCTTTGCTTTTGGTTTTTAACAGTTTTGTGTAATAGGTCTGTGCCTGGTTTTCTTCCTATGTATCCATGTTGGGACTTTGTGAATCTGTAGACTGATGTCTCTTATCCGTCTTTTTCAGCCATTATCTCTATATACTGAGATGCTAGGTACATGTATTTGTTAACCTTCTCTGTATTCTTACATGTTCCTGTACATTTTCACTTTTTTTTGTCTCTTGGGCTTCATCCTGAATTTTTTCTTGCGAGTTATATTTCAGTTTATTAATACACATAAGCTGTATCTGACTTGCTATTAAACTCACTTAATTTAAATTAAGCTTTAAATTTCTGTCACTGTAACTTTTCTGTTCTACCTTTCTCCTTTGGTTAGTTTCTCAGGTTTCCAGTCTTCTACTGAGGTTCTCAATTTTCTGTTTTATTTCCTTGAGCACATTGAGCATATTTATTTTCAAGTGGTGTCCTAAAACTACACATCTGAATCCTTCCTGAATCTGTTTCTATTGCCTGTATTTCTCTTGAATTTTAGCCATAGAGTTTTTTTTCCTAAGATTGAATTTTTAAGTAATCTCTACACCCAACTTGGGGCTCGAACTTATAATCCTGAGATCAAGAGTCACATGCTCCATTGACTGAGCCAGCCGGGTGCCCCAGCCATATAGGGTTCATTGGACCTAACTCGGAAGCATCATTCAGCACTAGGAAGCTCCATCCTGCCGACCATTCATGAGCAATAACTTAAAATCAAATAATAGTTCTCTGTTATAAGATCTCATCAAGTTTAAGGTGCATTGTTGATTTAATTATAGCTTCTTTGAGAATTGGAAGTAAAGACATACTACATGAAATGTATATATGTGACCTGATTCAGACATGTCACTTAAAAAAGAGTAGCATCTAAGAATTCTAGAAACATGGCAGAACTCCTCAGCCTTGGGCAGACCTGTTTGTATATCCTGACTCAGTTTCTCTTGGAGTCTCCCTTTAAATCCTCCTCAGGGAGAAAGGCAGATAACCTAAATTGTCCCAAGGCTTTGTTACCTCCAAAGGCTTGAGAACTTTCCAGTGCATTCCTGCTGGTTAAACCCACATTAAATGGGGAATTGGAAATATGATCCACAAGAATGCTGCCATTAGGAAATCACAGGGCAGGAGCCTGGTGGACCACAGAAGTCCTTACTTCTAAAAGGGGAGAAACCCAACTATCAGGCTCACGGTAGAAGGGATTTCTTATCTGCTGTTGAAACTGCTGTGATTCAACTATAGTTCATTTTCTTTCAGTATTCCAGGACTGGTCTTAAGTATCACCAGAATTTTTCTTGGCTGTGAGCTACAGGAAGCAAAACTCAAAATGGAGGAGAAACTGCCCTGGTGTTGCACAAATCATGCCCTTTGCACAAAGCATGGCCCTTTGATAGGCTAACTAACCACAGAGTGGAGCCCCTGCCAGGGCCAGGCAATGGGGGCTGTGACCAAAATGAAGAATGCAGCCCCCATTAAACAGAAGCCACTTCTCAACGCCAGTTGATTGTGGCCATGTGGGAACACAGGCCCAGGGTTTCCGGATCTGAATTTTGCTCAGAAATCAGTAATATGGATTTCTCTGAGCAATCTCCTGATTTTTATGTTGGCAGTGAATTCCATTTTCTAACACTTGCAGGTATGACGCACCATACCTTTTTGAGATGATCGCAGACTGTAGGCTCAGGTTCAGGCTACACGTTCTGGGCATTAAGTGATCTCCGCTCTAAGAAGGGAGTCCCATCACTGAAGCAATATGGAATGCTTTCTCTGCCTCTCCCTCCTACATCATAGAGGCATTCCTGGGAATATAAGCACTGGGGATTTCTAAGGCCGCTTGAAGTTTCAAAAAGTGCATTGCTCTCCATATGCCATGTTGCGAAAGCTCTCTCAGGTTCATTTCTTAAGTTAAGGTGGGGTTTTGGAGTTCCCCATTGTGGAAACTGCTCCTAGTATGTAGCCCAAAAGCATACAGAAGATCCTTGAAGTCATCTGCCACATGGTCTATGGGCAGTCTTAAAGCAGACAAACCAGAAATTTGGTTAATATGAGCAACACTGCCAAATTGGCACAAAGGGAAATTTACTCATTTTTACTTCTCAAGTATTTTAGAAGTGCTATATGAATGGAATGGAGATTCTTTTCTTGCCTGGAGGCAGGCAAGCAGGTTGCTTGAAAGGTAATTGGGACGGTTAAGGGAAGAAAAGCATGTCAGATGCATGATCACATTGCGTGGGGACTGTTTCATAGGGATGAGACTGTGTCTGAGAAGAAATGATTAAAAAGAGACCACGGAGGCTGACGGAGCGATTGGTGCCCAAGTGCAGTAATTAAAAGTCGAATTCCTCAGGGGACTCCCTCTGCGTCCTTACGCAAGCAGGATTCACCCTTGTGCCATAATCCATTTGAGAAAAATATGTTACCTGATAGAATCTTTCCAGGAATTGTCTGATACCCTGTTCAGTGCTCGGACACTGGTGTTATAGCTGGTGTTGACATTTCTGCTCTCCATTGCTGTCCCATGTGAGTTAGAGAATAGAAATGCCTTTGGAGTGAACATTAAGTGTTTATTTAGTTAGAAAGTATATAGTTGGAGATCGGGGGAACTTTGTTTTATCTCTGAATCTATATAGTTTCTAGTATTTTTTCACTATAACTTTCAGCACACTTGGGTTCCTGAAGATGAAACATAGCATCTAAATTCATTTCACACATAGGGCTTTGTTTCTAGTAAGTTCTACATTCTGGGTATAATACAAATAGGAAACTGAATGGTCTTGTTGAATTGTGCAAGCTTTAGGGAATGGAAGAGACAGCACGACACTGAAAAGCAATAACCCCTGGGTACTGGTCATAAAATCTAGGTGCAACGTTTATTTTGCCCAGGCCTGCCCAGCTCCCACAGTTTGAGAAAGAAATGAACAAGATCACAGAAGAGCCAGTGGCGATGTCAAATTTATTTATATACGGGATGAAATACTTCTCAAGGGAAGACATGTCTAACGCATGCATTTTCTATTACGAGTTTTCTCTTGGTGATTCCTCTGGGTACCGTCCATAGCAGGCTCCACCTCACTGCATTTTTAATTCAGTGAAACATGAAAAGATTTGGTTCTAAAATGAAATACTTCACACTTTTAACAGCTCCTCCCCCCACCCCCTTTTATTTCTTCTTTTAGTCCTTGAAGAAAGAAACTGCTCGGACCCTGGGGGCCCAGTCAATGGGTACAAGAAGATAGCAGGTGGCCCTGGGCTTATCAACGGGCACTATGCGAAAATCGGCACTGTCGTGTCCTTCTTTTGTAATAACTCCTACGTTCTTAGTGGCAACGAGAAGAGAACTTGCCAGCAGAATGGAGAGTGGTCGGGGAAACAGCCAATCTGCATAAAAGGTAACCTACAAGTATTTGCGAGAGCCACAGAAGGAGACGGAGCTGCGGACTTTTTGGTAGTTCCCATACATGGGTGTTTGTGAGCCCCTGAAAAAAGAAAATGCCTTTCCCTCTTAGGTTCTCCCTGGAACCATCCATAACTCCCAGGTGGGAAGCCATCTCTGAAAACATTTGCTCCTTTTCTGGACCTCCAGAGGACCTGCTTATCCTAATCACAGCTTCTTGCTGTGATCAAGATAGTTATCAGAGCAGTTTAGGAAAGATGACAGGACTGATTTAGATATGCAGATCCAAGAACAAAATTGAGGCAACCAGTGTGCTTCAATATAGCTGTGTTTATCTACTGTCTATGAAATACAAAGTTAACACAGGAAACAAAACAAAATAGACACACCGTCCTGCCGGCCTATGTGGCAGTAAGTTTAAGATGTTAACATAGTGGGGACACCTGGGTGGCTCAGTCAGTTAAGCGTCCAGCTCTTGATTTCGGCTCAAGTCATGATCTCATGGTTTGTGAGTTCGAGCCCCTCATTGGGCTCTGTGCTGGCAGCGCGGATCCTGCTTGGGATTCTGTCTTTCTCTCCCTCTCTCTGCCCCTCCCCTGCTGGCGCTGTCTCTGTCTCTCTTTAAATAAATAAACATTAAAAAAAGATGTTAACATGGTGAAAGACATCTTAACAAGATGTCAAGTCCTTGAGCATTCAAGGCAGAGTTAGAGGAAACAGATGAGCAATGTATGTTCAGAGAAGGGAACGATCAATATTGCTTGAAATGGGGATAGTTGCACACCGCAAGTCAGAGGAGAGCCAATCTGGGGAGCTGGGAAGGGTTGGCAGAGATAAAGAGCAATTGGGACGATATTGCCATCATGAGACAAAGGAAAACAAGGAAGTATCGGCAGGAGGGAACGGATCATGCTAAACTCAAAGTGGGGGCGACTGGGAATCTGGGAGGAAGATGGAAAAGGTTGGTTTGGGACCAGAAAAAAATGGGACCTTGTACAGAGAAGCCTGAAACTTCCCCCTTGGCACTGGGGGTGGGTAGTTTCTTACTGAACCAGGTCAACAGCCCCTGTATTTCAGGGGCAGGTCACAATCATCTGGCTGTTTCCTAGGAAGAAAAGCATGTCCTTGGCCTAGATTATCCAGATAATTGCCTTAATCCTCCACTTTCCCTTCTGGGTGTTTGTCAACAACCCAACTCCTGGGAAAAGAAATAAAAGAGAATTGGTTTGTGAAAGGAATAAATCACTTTAGACTTTAGCCAGAAGCGACCTTCGTCCCCACCAGCACAGACTCTGATTCTTGATTTCATTAAGTATGGACACGGTGTTACATATGTCCTTGGAGATTTTTGTCAACTTTTCTCTTACGAATTAATAACAACCAAAGTTCTCTAGTTTGCTAATTAGACGAATGTTGGCTGCCTGATTGGGAAAGTGGAGCGAGAAGGATTGCTTTTCACTTGTGAAGAAAGAGACACTTCAGCAAAATTACGCTGGGCTTTGAGGTGTCCTTAAATGGTCATCAGGAGCCTCAATTTCAGAGAAAGGACATGAGGGAATCAGCTACCCAAGACTTCCCCATGGTGGACACTGACATCTGGTCCTAAAGGAGAACCTTGTAGTTCCCTGCGTGGGGCTTTAAGTTAGAACCTTCATTTTGACCTTGACTCCATTTTCCATCAAGGTCACTAATGCTGTCGTGTGAACAGAGAGTGCCAGTGTGTTGACTGCCAGGGTTCCACATCACCTAGGTAGAGCGGCTTTTCAGAGGTGCGTGCTCTACGTGGCTTCTTCGGAGGGGCTTGTCAATTTAGAATGGAAGGCGGCGAGCTCTTTCGCTAGGGAGCTGTCCAAGCTTGGCCGGCATGCCTCCCCTCAGAGACCCCTGGGGGTGTCCAGAAAGGGCGGTCAGGGATGAATCTGAACGGAATGATGGGAGCAGTTAATATGGGAAGAGATTATGCAGTGTTGTCTCCTTCGTTCCAGCCTGCCGAGAACCAAAGATCTCAGACCTGGTGAGACGCAAAGTTCTTCCAATGCAGGTTCAGTCAAGGTGAGGTGGAGACACCCAAGCTCTGCTTTAAAGGCAAATGCATGCTTTCCCCTCCCGCCCCTTTTCTCGACTTGCGTTTGGCCAAAGACACTCTGGGGTTTCTTAGGGACACTCAGAGCTGACTGCTCATGAAAGAACAGGGCCTATTAGAGGGAGGCTGATAAGCCAGCTGCCTTTGGCCAAGAGGTAGCAACAGCTGGAACGTGTACACGGTTCACTGGATCGTGGGAAAGCAGGTGGTTGATGGGAAGTAAGGCTTGAAGATGATCCGTGAGGGACTGGATTTTAATACTCGAGTCTTCGTGAAATTGCTCTGTGTTTACTAGGGTACCTTCTACAGGGATGGCCCTCCTGCCAGACTCAGGAAGATGTTTTCTGTAGTAATCAACCAGAGGAGGCACGCCGGTGGCACCCAGGAACTAGATAGAGACAAACGATCAGTCCCGATGAGGGACGCGGGCCCTCAGATGTGCCCGCCCAGCCTTCCTCCAGGGAAGACAGATGTGGAGGCCACCGGTGGGGATGGAATAGGCCCATTTCTACTACTTCTCACCTCATTTTGCAGGAAACACCGTTTCATCTCATCTCCTGCCATTCTTCTCCTCACCCTCCGCTCCGGCCACACGGGCTGCCTGGCTTGTTCTCTCTACCCCTCCATGCACGATGCCGCTTCAGAGCCTCACAGCTCTGTCTGGACCCTGCTTCCACTGGATTTCAGTGAGGCTTCATGCCTCCCTTCCTTCAGCTCTCGCTCAGCTTTTTAACCTGGCAGAGAGACCTTGCCTGGCTGTGCTTTTGAAAATAGCAACCCCCCCCAAAATGACAACTATGTTGTGGTACCATTTAATGTTTTCTCTTTTTACACCTTATATAAAATTAAGCCACAGTCAACCGGTCAACCGGATAAATAAGTAAATAAGCAAATAAAATAAAGGTAGTAATGTCACTACCACCCAGACCGCAGAGCCGACTTCTCTACTCTCTGGCATTTGCTGTGATTCCGTCTTCGGCTTGGCTTCTATCCCCACCTGTCGTCTCGCATCCATTTTTTTATTTGTTCAAGTTCTATCTCCACCCCCCCCCCCACCCCAGCCCACGAAAATAAGTAAATACAGGTTACAAGCGCAGGAACATTTTGTGTCTTGTTCATGCTCGAGTTCTCCTGCCAAGAACAATGCTTGCCACACAGGGGGCACGCAAGAAAACATAACCACCCCGAACATGGACTGAATGAATGGGACTGACAAACAATGGCTCGAGACCGGCTTCTGTCTCTCTTTAGGGCTGTATTTAGTATTCTTGGGCAAGCTCCTACACTTGCTAAGCCTTTAGTTGCCTCTTTTGAAAAATGAGGACGATCATAATAACATGTGTCTCTGGGGATTGCTGAACAGATTAGACGCAGCCCCAATAGGCAGCATTTATCGAATGCTATGTGCCCAGTTACTCTTCTGAGCGCTTCCCATGCATTAGCTCGTTTACTCTTTGTTATGACCTCTGAGGTAGGGATTATCATTATTACCATTTTATTATAGGTTTTATTACCAATTTTATTACGGATGGGTAAACCGAGGCTCAGAGAAATTAATTAACTTGCTCCAAGTCACATTGCAAAATGCGGATCCAGGATGCAAATCCAGGATCTTCACAGTCTTCAGGGTCTTCAGGGCTTGCTCCCTTATGCACTAAGCTCTAACTAAGTCCTACGTAAAGGCTTTAGCAGAACGCTTGCCCGGATGAACACCTGTCACTGGTAGCTATTGCTTTTAGGATTGGTAACAGTGCATCCCAGTCACCAGAACTGGCCACAGCCAAGTGACCTGAAATATTCACAAAGCAGGATATTCCTCAGTCTCTCACCCTTCCTCTGGATATCTCCTATTTCTGTCTTTCCCTTTTCAGGCAAGGCATTCCCTTGGGAACAGTGGCTGTAGAAGACAAATTCCGCTCCCTTTCCTGATCTTTATGACCTACCTGGAGCTGGACTCTCTGCTAAGTGGGATAAACCTGTTCTTTCCAAGGAGACGTCTTGTAGAGCAGCCCCTGAGCTATTGAAAAAGACTATGGGGCTTTGCATTTTTAAAGCGATTATAATGGGAGGTTAGGTGACAAGGTGCCCGGTAGCTCATGTAGATGAAAAAGCAAGCCTAAAACTTGGTTTTAAGGATCTTTCTGGAAGATAGGCTGCTGGAAAGTGGATATACATATCTCCAGCAGCCTAGTCACCCAAGAACCCCCAAAGGCAGTGTAGTCTTTCAACAGATGGACCAAAAGTTGAGCTTGTTGGCCAATTCAGAAGCTCCTTGAACTGCAGACCTTGTTCTAAACTGGGCTTAAGATTTGTTGAATGAAATCAGTGTGGGTGGAATATTTGCTCTGAGTGAAGTGCCGTGCAGACACATGACACAGATTTCTTCAGATGACATCAAATGGCCCAGTGGAGACACCAGGTTGGGAACCATAACTGCTCAGTGCTGCCTTGGGTACCAACTTAGCTTCCCGAGTACCCTTCTGTGTACTCTCACTCCCCTCTCTGGGCTTCCTCTCCCCATTCATTCAACAGAGATGAAAACATTGTTTCCTAAAAGAATTCTAACTTTGCAGTGATCGTTAGCACTGATGCACTGATGTAGAACGCAAGCTCTCCAATGTGTGTGCGTCTCCCCCAAGAACCCCTGAGTGGTCTCTGGGGGCTTTAGCTCCAAGTGCTCATTTGAAAGGCCTTTTCGCATTTACACACAGTATGCTGTGTTTCTGCCAATCATTGTGCCCTGAGAAAGCTCTATTCTCTGAGGTGTCCTAATTATATACGCTGATTGCTAAATCAAACTACTGTATCAACACAGTTTAGTTCAAGTCAATTCCTAATGTTACCCCATTATGATAATGTTTGGAGGACAAAAGACGCCTGGATTTCTTTCATTCAAATGAACTTCCTTTCCTGTTTAATTTCACAGTTAATTTTTCTCTGTGTGCACGTATAACGTACCCTTGGATTGCAGCTATTACACCAGATACTATCCTTTGGTTAAAATCCTAGGCAGCCGGAGGCATGCCAGAAATGGAAATGGATGAACAGAATGAAGGTTGAGGTGTGCAAGAGAATTTGCTCAGTGGCAGAAGGGAAGTGTGTGTGTGTGTGTGTGTGTGTGTGTGTGTGTGTGTGTAAGTGAGAGAGAGAGAGAGAGAGAGAGAGAAAAGAGAGGGTGGGGGAAGTGAGCGGGAGGGATAGAGAGAATGAGATAGACTTTTCGTTTTCTGCTCTAACCAAATATCTACGTGGGGGGCTGGCATGGATACCATAGGGGCCGCCATGATCGTCTCTCACCCTGTTTTCTCTGGGCCCGTGGGCCCCAATGCAGGGAGACGCCGTTACACCAGCTCTACTCAGCGTCCTTCAGCAAGCAGAAACTGCAGGGCGCCCCCACCAAGAAGCCAGCCCTTCCCTTTGGAGATCTGCCCCCCGGGTTCCAACACCTGCACACCCAGCTCCAGTACGAGTGTGTCTCACCCTTCTACCGTCGCCTGGGCAGCAGCCGCCGGACATGCCTCAGGACCGGGAAGTGGAGTGGACGTGCCCCGTCCTGCATCCCTAGTGAGTCAAGGCTTGTCCTGGGGCTGGAGCCCCTTACATCTTCCATGGTTACTTGTGAAAAGCCCTCAACCCTCTTGAAGACTTTTTGGGAAAGGTTTCTCGTCCAATGGTCTTAGGTGAATTTTTTTGGAGGGGGCATACTTCCTTCTGAATAATTCTCCTATGTTTCCTTGGATAAAAGGGAGAGAACCGTCATTACACACAGGTGGGGAAAGGAGTTAACAATTCCAGAAGGCTTCTAATTATGTCATCTTGGATATCCCGTCTAAGCCCGTTTTCATGCTCATCATCCAGTGGTATTGAGTAAGTAATTGTTACTAATTAGGTGATGAGCTTTTAATTACCCATAAGGCTAAGATGATGATTACTGAAGTAGTATGTGGAAGTTTCTGGAATAGGGTCTTGCACATAGTAAACTACCTTCCCCACCCTCTTTGTCAAAGGAGAACAGTATGGCTTAATTCTTTGTGGTCAAGTTTATAATGATAGTCATTGATATTTTGAGTCTAACTGTTTACATACATGATCATCCAGCCTCCTGAAGAATTGGGTGAGACACGTGTGATTCCTGTATCCATTTGGTAGGCAAGAAGACTGAGGCTTTAAGAGATTAGGCAATTTGCCCAAAGTCCTATTGATAGTAAGTGCCTGGGATCCAAAGCCTTCAATCTTCACCCTAGACTTTATAGCCAGCCATGACAAGGTGGTTGGTAACTCTTTAGTGGGAAAGGAAAAACAGCTTAGATGCTTAGTGGTCATCACGCGCACGGTGCTTACCTTTCCAGGTTTGTGTTTTCTTGACTGAGTAACACATTCCCCTTTGGATGGGATAGTCTGAGTTTATCTCACTGAGCCAATGCTTTCTCCATAGTCTGTGGGAAAACTGAGAACATCGCCGCTCCAAAGACCCAGGGGATGCGCTGGCCGTGGCAGGCGGCCATCTACAGGAGGGCCAGCGGGGTGCACGGTGGCAGCCTGCACAAAGACGCGTGGTTCCTGGTCTGCAGCGGCGCCCTGGTGAATGAGCGCACCGTGGTGGTGGCTGCCCACTGCGTAACTGACCTGGGGAGGGTCACCATGATCAAGACAGCAGACCTCAGAGTCGTCCTGGGGAAGTTCTACCGGGATGATGACCGAGAGGAGAAGACCATCCAGAGCTTGCGGGTGAGAGAGGGCTGTCCCCTGGAGACTAGGCCTCGGCCCAGCAAACTCCACACCAGGAGAGCAGCAGGTGTGCCTGTGCTGACACCTTGGCACTGTAGCACCCAGCCAGAGGCTGGCATGTAGCAGGTGCCCAATATTTCACGTAGACAGATACTAGAAAGGGATACCTAGAGAGACTAGGGAGTCTTTTCTCCCTTTGTTTTCAAAATAAGATTGTAACAACTATCATCTATCATGGAGATCATCAAAAGTTAATCACCCATTATGTTTAGGTCACTGTACTAGGTAGGCTTTGAGGACATAGAAAGATTTTACCAAGGTACTCCTGATCAATTTATAATATACATCTGTCTTTATTTGCCTCTTTCCCTCCCTTCCTCTCTTCCATCCACCTACCCACCTCCCTCTCTATCCATCCATCCATCCATCCATCCATCCATCCATCCATCCATTTATCCATCTTATCCATCTATCCATTCGTTGTTGATCTCCCATAGTACTCCATTCACAGGGAATAGATACAGAACTGATACATAAGAATAGATACATGAGGCATGGTTTTTGCCCTGAGGAGTCCACAGGCTACTGGAAGTGACGGACCAGTATGTTATAATTAGTTTGACACAAGAGAAGCCCCGCGGAAATGTGCCCAAAGGTAGTTGCAGTACTAGAACATGAACATAAAAATGTTAGAGCATATCACAGACGTAGGCTCTTAGAAGCTCCCATCAAAGTGAATGATCAGCAAGGATTGGGACAATCAGCAAAGACTGTGGAAAAGTCTTGTAGAGCATTCTGGGTGGAGCTCTGTCTTCTTACTGGCTTACAGATGAACATGTATGGTGGGCCAGAGGTTGCAAACTGGTCACCTTGAGGGGTTCGTGTTTGGATGGCGCTAACATACATTTTTTTTAAGCCAGTTCTGTGCCAGCATTTAAAAATCAGGAGGTTCAGATGAAGGTCTGGAGTCGGTTCTCTGGCCAGGTTAGAATGCTGCCCCCTTTCGGCCGGGCAGTGGTCAGCCGGAGCAAAGTGGCCGCTACCCGCTTTAGATGGGTTGTGCCACACTGTTGTCGGCAGCCCCGTCTGCCGCCCCCACTTAGTTAACCCCACCTACCAGGCAGCAGTGGGCTTTTCACTTTGCAGCCCCCGAAAGAGAGCTGATGTTTCCCAGGACCCCTTAAGCAAAGCGTCTCCAAATAATTACGTGTGTCCCTAAGACATTTGCTCCGAATTTTATTTGGCCCCAGGGCTTGCCTGTTCTTGTTCACTGTGCAGCTCGTGGCTCACCACTACTGTCCATTTCTTGCGTTTGTAGATTTCTGCAGTCATCCTGCATCCCAACTACGACCCCATCCTGCTGGACACGGACATCGCCATCCTGAAGCTCCTGGACAAGGCTCGTGTCAGCACCCGCGTCCAGCCCATCTGCCTCGCCGCCCCGCGGGACCTCAGCACCTCCTTCCAGGAGTCCCGCATCACCGTGGCCGGCTGGAACGTCCTGTCCGATGCCAGAAGCCCGGGCTTCAAGAACGACACGCTGCGCTCAGGGGTGGTCAGGGTGGTGGACTCGCTGCTGTGTGAGGAGCAGCACGAGGACCACGGCATCCCCGTGAGCATCACGGACAACATGTTCTGTGCCAGCCGGGACCCCGCTGCCCCTTCTGATATCTGCACGGCGGAGACGGGAGGCATCGCGGCTGTGTCCTTTCCGGGGCGGGCGTCCCCCGAGCCACGCTGGCATCTGGTGGGGCTGGTCAGCTGGAGCTATGACAAAACATGCAGCCACGGCCTCTACACAGCCTTCAGCAAGGTACTGCCTTTTAAAGACTGGATTGAGAGAAACATGAAATGAGCCTCGGCGCCACTGAGGTGCTTTTCGTGGGTCCATCTCTACGTGGGTTGCCTGAGGCAGTGTGGACCTGAAGTTTGATCCTGCCTGTGAATTCGGCTGGGCCAGGGCTTCTGACTTCAAGATCGAGACTCAGTGGAGAGTGAGTAGAGCTCACTTTTTGGTAGACCGCTGCCTTCCTGGCTGCTGAGACCATTTGGAAGACACCACGGCTGCTTTGCAAGGACGGAGTCTCCTCCAAAAAGACTATGGGAATAGCAGAGAAGTGGTCCCCGTTCCACCAGCCCAGTGGCTTTGCCCACCTGCCCTATGGTGGTGTGAATGTCATGGCCAGCTCTGGCGGAGACAGCATTGGCCAAGAAGTCTGGGTTTCATGAGGTCTCTTCCAAGACTCTAGCCAGACCACGTTCCAAAGAGCCGCCCATGGGACAGCCCGGGACAGCGGAGCTTGGATGTGGCTCTGGCTTTTGTGTACATTGCCACCGTAAAGTGTGGTCCTTCTCTTTCTCAATCCCCTGTCCATATTTTAATAAAACGAGGGTTGGCTTCTGACCTACAGAACCGCTGTGCTATGGCTCTCATTGCTGCGTGCTGCTTCTGATGGCTTGAAGCCCCTTAAAATAGATCCTCAAGTCATAATTTCAAAACAATGCGTGCGGCAAAGCCGAAGCCATCTTTTCAATACCAGCCCCTGAAATTGCTGGGTTATGGGCTGGAGGAGGAACAACATGGGGGCCGTCAGAAAAGGCACAACCAGAGGAAAATACCAGGGATTAGATGATTTCTAGTGTCCCCTCTGGTTCTTATGCTCCAGATCTAACCCAAAACTCTGCTTTGAACGTCTGTCCATCTTGATGATGTATTCTCATAGCATCTGAACTGGAATCACCTATTTACTCACACTAGATTGAGATGTGCTAAGACAGTGAAGCTCCACTGTTTTCCAGAAGTGATGTGATTTTCTTTTCAAATGCTACCTGGCTCTCACTGGATAGCGGCGGGAAAAAAATATGAATTCAGTCCCTGAAGTGATCTTTTCAGTAACTTTCACTTTTGTGTGTGTTTGGGGGGGGGGGGCTCACTCTTTTATCCTTTCTTCCCTGCTCTCCTGGCCAGTCTCCTCTCCTCCAAGAGGGTGCCGTGGAGACTACCCTTCAAGTACTGGGGCACAATGAGACTCCGGAGTCCCTGCTGGCTCTTGGGTGTGTGTGGTGGGTCCTTCCCATCCCTGGCCATCCTGCCGACATTGACCTCGAGTGCCACAGCGGTAACCACTGAAACTTGTGCCATGTTCTCTCTGCTACCCTGGGGCCCAGCAGCCCTCCCTCTTGACATGGTACTCCTGAGTCGTGGGGGTGACTCCCTTTTGACCCTGGTTTGGATCACTCGGCCTCATTGCCACAGCGACAACCTTCTCTGGTATCCTGCCAGACTCTCAGTGACCTCCCCTTCTACCCTTGGGGCCTTTGAGAGAATATCTCGGTCTTTTCTACACTTCATGAGGGCTGAGAGCCCAGGGTTGGTACAGGGACCTCCAGAAGATACTCATCTCCTATAGACCCAAATAGGAACATTACTCTTTCTCAACCTACTGGAGAGAACTTCGACCTTCAGCTCTTGGGCCCCAACACAGGATATTAGGATACGCTTGTCTCCCAACCTGCCTACTATCTCTGTGTCTTTACGTAATTCCCTGAGCCAGGAGACAGTTTCTGGTACTTTATCATCTTGTCGGACTTTCCTGGGGCTTTCCGGAATCCACACCCACCTCCTTTCTCATGGCTTAGTCGAAGAGCAATGTATTAGTTATCAACTTCTGAGTAACAAGCATCTAATATTTAGTGGTTAAAACAAGCAATAGTTATTCTCTCCTAGCCTCAGTGGGTCAGGAACTGGGGAGCTGAGCCTGGCATGATGCCATAATCATCTGAGACCTTAACTAGGGCTGCGGCATCGGGTTCGACAGATATTGTTACCAAATTGCTGCAAGGTTTTTTCGTTTTCTTTTTTCTTTTTTTTTTTCTAAGCCTAGAAAACTTGGATTTTGAGAGGTATAATGGGAGCCTGAGCAAAGAAATCTAGATTCAACTTCCTGCCTCTCAACTTCTTTTCTAAGTGACCTGCGGCAAGTCACCTAACATAGCTGCCTCAGTTTCCCAACTGTTAGGTTGACATAAGGAAATCCATCTTTTGTGGGGACTGTGATGATTAAGTCAGATACCATGTAAAGTGCTGAGCACAGTACATGGCTTATAGCTCGGTGCCTGTAATATGAGGCGGGGGCTAGGCTGTCCAGCTGGGCACAGCTCCATAGAGCCTGCATCTGTGCCTCTGTGGGCATATCCGACATGGGTGCCCATGTGCATAACCTGTTCTCTCTGTCCTTACACCCCACCCCCACCCCACGCCACTCCCCAGACCATCAGTTCCCTACTTTCTTGACATCCTTTCCATCCTTGCCCTGTCATTCAGACTTGGTTCACATTTATGTCATCTCAGCTATGACTTTGATCCCCTCAGAAGTTGAAACGGGCCTGAAACCCTGGCAGCCCTGCCTTGGCATACTTGGTTAATGGGTCCCACGCCCATTCCTCCACCACCCCAAGATCTTCCCGTCCCGGCATTGCCCTCGTGGGCTGCAGGCACTCTGCCATGCTGACCGAAATCTCTAGGTCTGGACAAGAGAGTCAGACGCCAGCCTGTCCCTTGGCCACATCTGGCACCATAGGAATGCCATCCATATCTTCATAACATGGCCTTCACATCCTAGCATGGGGCTGTGAGGATGAGAGATCTCTTTCTCAGCTGGGAATCTGGAGTGGCCCATCAGTCAGGGGTTTTGATCAGAGAATCAGAACTTCTAAGAGTCTTATAGAATAGGGGATAGTAGTGAAAACATACAGTTGTGGGCACTGGCAGGGAAGTCTGTGGGAGGCTCTTGCCTTGGCATCTGGTGTTGAACCTGGAATCAACAGGGCCAGCAGTCGGGAAGGAAAGCTGGCTGGGAAGTTGGCCGAGCAAGGACAAGCTGAGACCCCCAAGGATGAAGGGAAGCCCATGTTTTCCCTTGCCGTCCCCAGCCGTCCTGACACCCTTAGCATGTAGCTGTACGCACACCTGATCCAGGACACTCAGAGAAGCTTGAAGAGCATTTCCAGCAGGTGGGCCTGGGTGCTGTCCCCCTCACCCCCCAGCAAGGTGAGCCGGTGGATCAGTGACCTTGAGTGTGAACGATCACAGTGACTGGTGTGCTACCAGCTTTCAGAGCAGGGAGGTACTGATCCACTCCCCTCTTCAGATCCCATGGAAGTTCCTCTTGTGCCCACCCGCAATCAGACAAGGAAGGGAATTTTGCATAGTTTGAGCTTCCCCTAGGTTGACCTGGAACAAAAGCCATTGCAAATTATGGGATATGAATGCTGGACAAATGTTTGTCCATTCAGGATGCATTCGGGGGGAGCCCGAGAAGACTCCTGCTTCACCCAAAACAGTTTGGTTCTGATTCGTTTTGAAGTAGTTCTTTTTGTCTTTTATGCACAGGCAGCCCCCACTGTGGAACGTTCTGTTGGCGAGGCCTTGAGGAGCTGGCCTGGCACTCGCAGCTAGGCTATGGTGTTCTCTTGTTGAAGGTCAGTAATTTCACAGGATGCCAGTAGCAGTCAAGATCATTCTGTGACTGTGATGGAGCAAAACACCAAGACCACATTATCTTGTCAATGAACAGACAAAAGCAGGGTCACCATACAAACCACAAAAACACCAATTACTCCCTCTCCAGCTCATGTGTGTGACTGGCTGCTTCTACCAATTGCTGTTTTAACTTTGGCTAGTTTTCCTTTTAGGTAAGATTTATTGAGATCGCTATTACAGAATGACCTCCACTTACTGATAGTACCTGAGCTAGAATAAAGTCCCACTTCCTTGCAACCTCTCCCAGATAACCTAATAGAAGCCCAAATCCAGTAAGTTCTTTCTAATACTATCTAGGTGAGATACCCTACAGTTCCCCAGGATATACACTCTCTTTTATATCAAAGAGCAGTTAAATCCAACTTGCTTAGCTATTGGTGTATTTCTGGTGGTTCTTGGCTGGAGGTCACTGAAAAAAAAAATGTATATGCCCACATATGCTTCCATGTGTATAGTAAGAGTTTTGCCTAAATCATATAGAACTTACTTAGATTTTGTATATCATATGATAAAATGTATATGATATATAAAATGTAAGTAAAGTCTATATGATTTAGGCAAGCCTTTTGCCTTCCTTAAGAGTGGCTAGGCTTACACATCAAGAGGACTTTTCAAGAGTAACTGAGTAGTTGACTCACACTGTATTCTCTCATATCCACTCCAACAGGAATTGAGATGACGGGGCAATCCAAGCAGGCTAGCATTTCCAGTTAACTTGACATTCACAGGGTAGTTAGCACTTCAACTGAGTCTTTGGAGTGGTGGATGGGAAGGAAGTAGTATATAAGAACTTGGCAAGTGCATAGGTTTAAGTATGGAAAGGGATGGCCTGGAGAAGGACCAATTATTGCCCATGAGCGCTTTATTGCAGTGACAGGTCAGGTTGGCCAGCCAAGTCAAGGCCAGTCCAGGCGAAGCCAGTTGGTGGTGGGTTTCAAATGCTGGGGTGAATAATTTGGCTTCTTATCGCCCATCGGCAAGTTTCAAACTCCTGTCGATGTTTCCAGGAGTGAAAGGGTTGAAGTGGAATTCTAGACAGGCCTCTCAGGCTGACTGTGCGGACAGAGGCAATGGTTAGAAGACCCAGCCTAAGCTCAAATTCCATCTCTGTCAATTTGCACGCTGTGACCTTGAGTGTGACATTCGATCTGTATTCTGCAGTGGCCTCTTCTGTAAATGGGACTGGTGTGATGCGTATGTGAGCTCGGCATGGAAGATGCTGTCTGACCCATTGCACTTGGTCAATAATGGCCACTGTTATGGCTGTTGTTTAGCTGTTCTTGAGGAGGAGGAGATTGGACGTCTGGGAACCA